TGCTGTGTCCTGTGAGGAGCAGCTGAGGGAGCTGGGGGTGTTTAGCCTGGAGAAAAAGAGGCTCAGGGGAGACATTATTGCTCTCTGCAACAGCTTAAAAGGAGGCTGTAGCCAGGTGGGGATCAGCATCTTCTCCCAGGTAACAGTGGTAGACAAGAGGACATGGCCTTAAGCTGCTCCAGAGGAGGTTTAGATGGGACATCAGGAAAAATCTCTTCACTTTAAAGGTTGTTAGGCATTGGAACAGGTAGGGAAGTGGTGGAACCACCATCCCTGAAAGTCAAAAAACATGTGGAGTGGCACTGAGGGAAATGGTTTAGTGATGAACATGGCAGTGCTGGGTTAACAGGGGGTCTCAGTGACACTGGAGGTCTTTTCCACCTTAAAGATTCTATGATTCTGACTGACTGTCTTCTATATTAACCTGCCTAAATGGCTTTTTCCATTGGCTCTTTCCAGTTTCCATCCCAAAAGATGGTATGAGATGGTTACTGCAGCACACATAGGACTGAATTTCCTCTTCCTCTCTGCAGGTAAGGTGTCTGTGGTATTTTGTTCTCTATGGTGAATCCTGTAACTTGGTGGGAAATACCTTATCAGCTGAAAGAGTAGAATAAAATGTGTGCTGCCAGGGAGGAACTGAAAGGTAACCTAGGTTTTACCCTACATTATGTTTGTTTTCTGAAGTTTAAATAAAAATGCATGTATTGAGCACATGTCTATAGATACTAGAAAACTACAGTGAAATATGTGTGCCTTGCTGTAATCCTTCAAAGATTGCTTTGAAAGTCTTAGAAGTGAATGGAAAATTCCTTTTTGTTTCTTGTAGGAGAGACTAAACTGCCATTCTGATCAGCATCTAATGCTGCTTCCTGTTTCACCTAAAACTACTGAAGTATTTTAAAATAACAGAAAAGACAAATTCCTCAGATGGCTTGAGGATTGGGTCATGCTATTATGTCAAATATGCCTATTGCTTTTTTAGACACTCCCCCAATGTTTCCTTGAGATGTTTAATGGCAGGAGTAGTCTATTCAGAAACTAACACATTGATAATAAACACTAGCATCTGCTTCGGTTTTATTTTCTCCCTAAACATTGCTGTGAAGTGGCAGATATTGAGAACACAGTTTGCTGCAAAGTTGGCTTAATGGACTTCAATTTCTGTTTGCTTCCATTTAGTTTTCCTGTGGAGAATGAAAATGACTGTTGTAGCCAAGGCTGGGAAGATTTTCCCTGGGCTAACAATGAGCAGAAAACTGAAGTGCCGGAATTCTTTCCTTGATGTCAGTTTAACTGACTCAGTGGCATAAAACAAAATTAGTAACGGTTCAAGTGCGTAATCTTTCCTCTGGTTAGAACTTCCCTGACAAATACTTATTATTTGGCTAACGAGGAGTAATTAATTCTGCAAAGAGGACCAAGAGAAAAGTGATTGACCCCTCAAGGCTGAGCCTCAGCAGGGTCTAACTAAAGCTCTTTCCTGAAGCTGTGAGTCACTCTGTGAGACAGAGCCAGTTTTTCCCTCCCCTCAGTCGTGTTTTTAACTGTGGTGAGGAAACAAAATTAGAATAAGCACAGATTTTAAATTAAGTTGCTGAGCTCTCAGACAACTTTCAGGAAAAGCAGAAGTATGTGAAGTTGCATCAGAACTTGCTTTTGTACCACACAAGCAATTTAGAGTTTATGTAGTGTTATCAAGGGTTTCTTGGTTAAGTGGGATTGATGTTAATTCATGTTTAATGGATTACATGTCAATCTTATCTTCAAAGGTTCAGAATGTAAAGTCTTTGATAAGCAAAGATTCAGACTAACATATCAAAACAGAAGAGTTGCTTAAAATAACTCACACTTTGGGTGTGGATGCAGTTAGTCCTGTAACTTTGTTAAAGCTATTTTGGGCAAGCATAAAAAACAAAGGTTTCATTCCACAGCAAGTTTGTCTGTATATGAACTTCACTTAAACTGGTTTTACTCAGTTAATTCCATCCTATAAAAACAATGAGGATTTAAATATGAGTATGACTATATAAAATCAAGTACTAAGATTATGCATGATCCTCTTGATTAACCTACCAAGTGCTGGAGCAGCTGAGACTTGTATAAACCACTCATTTTAATGAAACATTTAAGCATGGACTGCTAACCTAGTGACCTGAATGGGAGTATTTATGTTCTGAGTGGAAAACAAATCCTGTTCTGGCAAAGGATTTGAGCATGTCATTTAAATCAGGAATAACAGAAGCCAGCAAAAAGAATGAAGAGAAAAAGAAAGGCAGCACACAGGGTTTTAGTGGGGTTTCTTTGTGGAAGTTTTTTTTTTTGTGTGGTTGTTGTTTTTGTTGTTGGTTGGTTGGTTTTTATATGTGTGGGTGTGGTGGGGTTTTGTTGTTTTCTACAATTTGTGGGGCATTTTGTTTTGAGTTTGTTTTCCCACTCTATTGTTTTTACTAAAAATCCAAACTGCCAAAAAAAATCACTGAACTCTGTTGAAAGCAGAGATTAAATCCCTGCCATTAGAAGATTCATGTGTGAACTACACCAATTGCTTCTCTTCAGTGACTTTTCACAGAATCTAACTGTATTTTAATGCACTTTAATAAGAGTGTTCTGTGTTTACTGGTGACCTTGTGAGTGCTCAGCTACCAACTTATCTCCACATGTAAAAGTTGTCTCTTCTTAAGTGGAATAGCTGTGTTCTAATTGGAGAAATGCTAATGTATTTTAAGATTACATGTTTCTAGCAGTAGTAACAGCTATAATATTAGCAAATCAGATTCATTAGGAAATTTAATCAAAATAATTTTTTATGTTAATGATATAGTTCAGAGTATCCATCTTGAGGGAAGAGCAGAAATAATTATTTATGGATTCCAAAGTCCTGAATAAATTATGGAGCAAAAAGTTAGGAAAAAGGAGGGGGGAAAAGGCTGTTAGGGTATGCTCAGTGAATAAGGCAGGTTGTGTTTGGCAATTGACTGTGCTACTGGGAAACTAACATCTCTAAAAGATATCTCCAAAGAATAAAAACTACCAGAAATCTGTGGATAATTCTAGTCTTCATCAATATAGAAAACCAATCTTATGATTTATCACCCATTAGAATTAGAATTACTTCCTACAGTGGACTCTGCTCATGTGACCTGCTCCTGGCCCTGCACTTTATCTGAAAATGGCAGCAATGTGTTCTGGTGTGAACATCCTTTATGTTTGGCCATAGAGCTGTTTCCTTGTACAAAAATCCTGCAATAACTTGAATGGCCAAAATGGTGTAAATTTTCCATGGGCAGGATCTGTGTGAAGTGCTGCACCTGGTGGGTGCTGGACAGCCCAGGGCTCCTGAAGGAATGTAAGGCTATCTACACTGTTATAATGTTGGCTGCAATAAATGGTATTTTAAGTGACACTTTAGAATCTGAGTGCCTTTCTTACTGGAATCACAATAAACCAACACCACCTGGTACAAAACAGTTGTCAAACTGTACCTGCCAGAACTATTTCACTTGGAGTGCTATTTTTATTCTGATGATGCAATTGACTGAAGATTAAAATTGTGCAAAAACTAATTATTTTCCCCGATGTTTATTATGTGTCTTGAGCTTGGGATCTTAGTGGTTCTTCATGAAATCCATGCAAATAAAACCTTCAAGTGATCATGGGCTGTGTTATGTGAATGACAGTATTTCAAGCTATGTATGTGGCTAACAGACAGAAAAGTGTGAGCTTATCTATCAACTGCAGGAAATAGTGCATGCAGGAGTCTGATTTCTCAGCCTCAGTCAGTAAGTGTTAGAGAGTTTTGTACTTTCTAAGACCATGCCCATCGTCCCTCACTTCTTCTCCCTCGTTGTCTTTTAATGCAAAATAAGCTCACAGAGATGCTCTTGGTGAGTGGCTCCTATTTGGGCCTAGGATTTCAGTGCATTTGGGGTTTGGATCCTGGCTGTGTTGCTGACATGATTTATGGTATTTGCTGTTCAGTCTGAAATGCAGAAAACATCCATCAAGATGTACAAAAAGGCCATTCCACACTTTCTCTCCCCAAAGCCAGTCTGAAGAGGTATTTTTGGCTAAGTAGACTGATAAAACACCACTTAGCCAAAATAACAGGGACTCCATACATGGAAAAAGGACCATTGAGACCACAGCAAATACATCATAAATAATAATTTGCTTTTCCTACAACATGTAGAAGAAATTATGCACAATGTATTTTGTTTTAATAATCTCAGCTGAAGTCCTTGCACAGCTGCTGCCCTCACCAGTGCTTATTCTCCAACTCACAGCATTAAAAAGGACTTAACACAAAAAACCTACCCCAAACACCCAACAACTCTCAAAAAAAAACTTCCAAGAACACAACTCCCTCCTCTCAGTCACGATTTGTCTGGCTTCTGCCCTGGAGGTAGTGGACAAGGAGGATTTTTAGCTCTCCCCCTGCACTGTCTCCAGCTGTGTGCAGCCTTCCTTCCAAGCAGCTTTTGGGCCAGAAAAATCCCAAGAGGAAAAGCTGCTCTCCCCAGCGTGAGGTGTATATCCTGCTGGGAACACTGGACTTGAGACTTTCATAAGTTCCATTCACAGACTCCACTGTATTCCTGCTCTTCAAAAACCCACGATTTTCTAGGGGGAGATTATTCGGAAAGTTAGAAAAGTATCAAACTCGCTGATATATTCAGGACAGCTTTCATTACCAGGCAGTGCTTACTTTATCTATCGAGTAGCACATCACAATGACAAGAGTGTTTTATTTACTACCTCAACTGAGCTGAAAACCCCGAGCAGCGTTTTAACCGCGCCTCAGAACAGCAAAGTGACAAACGTTAATTTCCCATCCACGTTACACCGAGCCATCAGAAATAAACGCAGAGGGACAAAATCTCGCACTTGTCCATTTAAGCGCGTGCGTTTCCTAACAAGAAGAAAAAGCAGACCTGCGGTCGGAGAGGAAGCGGCGCAGGCCGGAGCAGGAGCGCTGCTGAGGGGGCTCCGCCGCCGCCGGGGCGGGACGCGGCTGCCGGGGCGGTGCCAGCGGGGCCGGGCCGGGCCCCGGGGCCGCGCAGGCTGCAGCACAGCAGCGGCGGCCACAGCGGGCCGGGAGCGGGCCGGCCATGGTGGGGCTCAAGGAGGAGCTGCTCAAGTCCATCTGGCACGCCTTCACCGCCCTCGACCTCGACCGCAGCGGGAAGGTCTCCAAGTCGCAGCTCAAGGCAAGCGGGGGGCGGCGGGCCCGCTGGGGTGCTAGGGGCCGGGACGCCTCTGGGGGCACACGGGCACTCGCTCTCGGGGCTCTCCTGGGCGCTGTAAATCGCGTTTTCCTCACCCCATCGCTGTCCGTGCGGGTCCCCCCGCCTCCGTCCCGCGGCAGGTTGGTGCGGAGCCGTCCCGCAGCCCGGGCACGCTGATTCTCATTCTGCCCAGGCAGGCGCTCCGTCCTCGCCGAGATGTCAGTGCACAAACCCTTGTTGTGCTTCTGCTCCGCTTTCAACCGCGTGTCCTTGCTACCCTTTCTGGCCAAAATCTTTTGTGGGGTAGCCACAAGGTCCCATCTATAGGGCTTGGCTGCGTCCAAGTGAAATTCACAGCTTGCCAAGGGGAGAGAGAGGTTCCACAGTGCCCTCTTATTTGGATATAAACAGGAGAATTAGTCAAGAGGCTCCAACTGTGCCATTCTTTCCTTAGCTTATACGCTGAAGTAGTGTTTGTGCTCTTAAAAGAGCTCTCAGGCAGCTCGCTGAATCCAGTCCCATCTTGGCCCTGCTTTATGGGACCGTCTTGGCCTGGGAATAATAGCAGGAATCTGGCTAAATAAATATTTTGAATAAGAACGCAACACCTGTTGACATTGGGGACTGTGGCTCCTTGTGCTCGGTGCTGGGGCTGCGTGGGCCGCAGCAATTAGGCGAGGTTTGCGCCTTTTGTGGCATTAACTCCAGCAGCGACAGTGGCCGTGCTGTGGGTGGTATTTCCAAGCGTGGCTGGTCGCTCATGGGCTTTATCTTTAGCATTATGTAATGAGGGTCCGGACCTGGCAGCGTGCTGCAAGCATGTTCCTCTTCTCCTTTTCTTCTCCTGGGCTGATGGGGCTGTGAAATAGAGCTGAGCTCGGCCAGAAGTGACCGCAGGGCAGGATTTGGGCGAGACGCCAGACCTGGCTGTGAACCCGAGCTCAAAGTGTGTGCAGCCTCTCGTGGTCCACAGGTGCTGGGCTGAATGAAATGGCTAAAGAAACTCCCTGTGTGCTGGTGGACTGGTACAGTGTCATCCAAAAAAGCAGGGCTTTGTGTGTTTGTTCAGTTCTGTCTGTGACATAAAGGCTCCTGTGGGAAGTGTCAGGTGGAGTGCAGGAACAAGTCTGAAATGAGGTTGCCACCTCCTCCTGTGGCCACCAAGAATTAGTTTTCAGTAGACACAGGAGGGAGTAGAGGGTATTCTTACATTGACACCACATTCAGCATTTGCCACAAAAAGTCTAACTGATGATCCTGCCGGGGAGAAGACATGTGCAGGGTGGCAGTAATCCCACATGGTTAAAAAGGGCAGGCAGGACAGCAAAAGAGAAGTTCCTATATGAAAGAGATAGAGCTATGTTGTGCTGAGGAGGTATTTCACAATGGTATTTTATCATCATCATGAGGAAGATACAGCACTCCTGTAAAATGGACAGAGGATGCTTGGAGATCAACAGGTTAGCAGAGATCTGTGATGTTAAAAAAATATGCTTAATAATTTAGTAGAACTGCTGCTTTAAAAAAAAAAAAAAAGATAAAAACCTATTTGTTTTGTGACAATGGCAGTATTGTAACCTGAACTCAGAAAAGTTACTGGCAATATAAAATTACTGGCAATGTGTCTTTGGTTTGTGTAATCCAGTGTAAGGTGATGCCATCACGTGACAGGGAAGTTCCTATGGAAAATATGTTTGATTGTTAAAGGGAGTGATTTCTAGTCACTCTGCCTAGAAGTGACCTTTGATCCTTCCATAAAAATAAATAATTAACTTTAAGTACTATGAGAAAAGCAAATGTGTGTGTGTGTTGTGTGGTTGAGGCCGTACTGTGAAGGATTTGCATCACACATTTGTTTTCAGTGGATCTGGAGCAGATGGATGGAGGTGAATCAGTTTGGTCTGTTTCGCAGTCTGGAGAAACAACAAATGCTTGACGGCAAAAATGGGACTTGCTTGGAATAGTAAGGATGTCATGAGATGTCTTTTATCCATTTGTATCTTTCGTGTATGTTCTGGGCTGCTGAGAGAGGAGACAGTCAAATCAGTCCTCTGTGTAATTTTGAATATTGTCTTCTTCCAGTATGCACTGATTGTTTGTTTGTTTGTTTGCTTGTTTGTTTGTTTGGGTTTTTCTACTTCTCTTCAACTGGTAGTCTTCAGAAGTTTTACTGTTACGCTGGCTGCAGCTCTTAGTCTTTTTTTCTACATCAGCAGAAACATTTGTGTATTCTGTTCTTAAATTACAGCTTTAGAGCTGGACACAGTCATTGTTTTGCCAGTGTATTTTTTGGCATGTTCAAACACTGATACAGCAAGGCTCAGGTGTAAGTTCTGTGTACACAGTTACAGCTGCTGCTGCGATTCCAGCATGAGCTACATGCAAAGTACTTCCTTTCCTACACTTAGATCCAAGTTCATCTTTCTTACAGTCTGCAATTTTAAAATTGTTTTAGAAGTTTTGTTTTCTCTAAGGTGCCAGCATTAAATCCACTTTTCATCTGGATCTGGAAACACTGCAATTTTAAATATAGTTCCACTTGACAGCCAACAAAACTGCATGTAGTGTGTGTGTATGATTGGGTCTTGGAAAGATCCACCAGTTAGTTTTTACACCGTCTCTGGAAGCTCTTCCACACGTTGCTTTGTGACTTGTCTCTGCTTTGGCAGTGGGTTTATTGTGGTGTTCTGGTTTTGTTTTATATGCTGCATTGGGGTGTATTTTCTAAGCCTTGGGGTCTTGGATTTGTGGATGCTATCTGGAGAATGTGGATGGTGAGCCACATGTGAAAATACTGTCTCGTTATAACTCTGTGTGACCAAAGCTACTTGGAAAATTATTACCAGTCTCATATCTGGGGTGTTACAGGCTTATTATAACTTTGCTTTGCCTTTCCCCTAAAGGAGAAGTCGGTGGCCTGTGGGAAGAGGAAGAGTGGTGTAATCGGGGGTGAGAGGGATGGTCTGAGCAGAGAGGAAGACCTTGAACAATGTAGGGAGGCAGGGGCAGGGTTGGGAGCCTGCGTGCAGTGGGCAGGACCCCGGCCGGACAATCGGCTTTGTGCAGCCGTGGAGGGCAGTAGGAAATTAGTCACTGTGACTCACGGGAACAGGGGCTGCTCTGCTGCTGTCCACGGGGCTCAGAGTGTGTGCAGTACGGTGGCCATGAGCAATCCTGGCAGTGAGGTGTGAGGGGGGGATGCTGGTCTGCCAGGAAAGCCCAGGCAGCCTGTAGACTAAAACAGGGAGCATGAGGAGATGATGGGGCCATGACGCCGTGCTCGGGAGGAGCAGCTCCCCGTGGATCCAGCCTGTTTAACCTTGAGCCAGCCTGTGCCCGAGTGGCCAAGGCAGCCAGTGGCATCCTGGCCTGAATCAGCAATAGTGTGGCCAGCAGGAGCAGGGCAGGGATTGTCCCCTGTACTGGGCACTGGGGATGCCACACCTCGAGTGCTGTGTCCAGATCTGGGCCCCTCAGTTTAGGAAGGACATTGAGGGGCTGGAGCAAGTCCAGAGAAAGGCAACAAAGGTGGTGAAATGTCTGGAGCACAGGTTCTGTGGGGAGCAGCTGAAGGAGCTGGGAGTGTTTAGCCTGGAGAAAGGGAGGCTCAGGGGTGACCTTACCACTCTACAATTGCCTGAAGAGAGCTTGTAGCCAGGTGGGGTTTGGTCTTTTCTTCCAGGCAACCAGCAAGAGGATAAAAGCTTAAAGCTGCACCAGAGGAGGTTCAGGTTGGACATTAGGAAGAATCTTTTCATAGAGGGGCTGATTAGATACTGGAATGGGCTGCCCAGGGAGGTAATGGAGTCCCTGGAGGTGTTTAAGGAAAGACTGGACATGGCACTCAGTGTCATAGCCTGGTTGATATGGTGGTGTTCAGTCATAGGTTGGACTTGATGATCTCAGAGGTCTTTTTCAGCCTAATGGATTCTGTGATTCTGTTTTGTCATCTGGCTTCAGGGAAGATGTAAAAGAAAGGTGCAGTACATGGAGTATGTTTACAGGGAGCTCTTCCTCAGGGCTGGGAGCCCTGGGACAGAAAGGCAATTCCCTTGGCTACTTGGGCAGATGCTGACCAACATCAAGGGGGATTGTGCAGATAATGAAGGCAAAAGGAAGGGTGAGGTTGTTGAAAATGCTGATGAGGGGTGTGCAAGTGCCCAGGGGTGAAAGCAGTGAATGAAGGAATGGGAGCTGATGTCTGTGAAGGGCACAAGTGTCAGGAGGCTGGGCTGGTGGAGGCTGGGCTGCTCCAGCACCTCCAGCTGGGAAAGAGGCTGCTGCAGTAACCCCAACATTAAATAATGAGGCTGCAGATGGAATATGTGCTGCCTGAGTGGAGAAGGAAGCTGTACCTTGGGGATGTGATGATGCAGGATATGGTGTGCATACCCTGGTGTCCCCTGGATGAAAGGACCTGGTGCTTGTGACAGGGGGCTTACATGATGCTACTTTAGCCCTGGTCATAAAAGAAAAAGGGAAAGTGCTTGTGAGTAGCCTTATTTTGGCTGGCAGGCTGGCTGGCTGCTGACATGGATGTTAGGGAGAGATGAGCCAAGAATGTCTTGGAATGAATTCACACGAAGCCACTGAATGGAGCTGTCGGGATCTGGGATGCCAACATTTTAAAATCTGAAAAAGAGACAGAGAGTGGGAAGACCCCCCTGAAAGATGGAAAGAAAAAGAGAAAACTACCAAGAAGCTGACAATAGCTGCTGCAGGATTAGTCTGCCCTGATAATGCTCCCACTGTCATCTGGGCCAAATTTTTGTCCCTGAGCAGTGAGTAGTCTAGCAGATCCTTTCCCTGTAGAAATGCAGATCACTTTTATGGACATGGTTAAATGGAGCTACTCAGATGGTAACAATTCAACGTGTGCTGAAAGTCTTGGAAAATGGAAACTCGAGAGGGGAGCAGCTCTGGCAGAGTAAACCTGAAGGTAAAGCAGCATGAAACAGGGCATAAATAAAGTAAATCCAAAGTCTGTGATGACCTTTGGCATTGTGCTGTCTCAGACTCCAGTTTGGGACCCCCGCTGTACCCACGTGCTGCAGCAGAGATGAGCCTTTGGCTGGGGCAGGAGTTGGCTTTGGTGTGAAGGTAAATTGTTAAACATGGCATCCAGAGCCTGGTCAATGTGGAAGGAGAAAGCTGCCCAGCAGCCCTGTGGGCACTGGGGGAATAATCCTGACTGGTGCAAAACTTCCTCATGGTTGATGTAACTTCTGCAAGGCAAGGTGATTATTTTGTACCCCAGTTAATCTAGTGCTCAGCTACTCGTTGTTGTTTTGTTGTTTTTTTTAAATTGTTAATTAACATAGAGTATCTTCTGGTCCAGATAATGTGATTTGAGGGAACAAAACCAAACCAAAGGAGACCTCAGGGCAGAACTTTTCTGGCTTACCCTGCAAGTGAAGAATTCAGCTGGCACTTGGCCACGTTAGGGAATGGCAGGCTTTGGCAGGCGTTGAGGAATTTCCTGAGTTATGAAAAGAGAGCACTGGGCACCAGACAGATGGCAGATAAGGCAGATCTTAGAAAATCATTGAAAGTGGAATTCTTTCCTGGTAAGTTGGTCACTTGATGTGGAAACCACCTAGGTTTCTGACAGCCCAAACACAGCAAGAACACCAAAAAAAAGGGAGAAGACAAATATGTAAAAAGGAGGTGATAAGAAACTATTTTATTTAGACTTTTTATTTACTTTGGTGAAAGTAAAACTGAAATCAGTCATGCCTTCAGAATATTTTTATTAGCTAAGTATTTTTGTATTATAGTATTAGCAACTACAGTGTGGCTGGAAAACAGTGATCATCTCTCTCTCTCAGAAATTCAAGAATCCCTCAGGCTTCTATAAATAACAGCAGAAGCCTTAAATAAAGGGGAAACACACATGATAGTACATTCCCCCAGCCCCACATGTAAATCACATGGACTCAAGTACTTGATCTGATGTGGTGGTTAGAGATAAGGATGGATTGAAGTGGAATATACTGCTGATGGAGAGTGGTATGAAATGTGGTAACTTAAAAATGCTCTTTTGCTGCTTTGGGAAGTGCAGCTTTTGTTGTGCTGTAGCTGATGCTGTTGTTTAACTGTTTTTAAATTTCTACACCTTATTAGCTCTAATGCCTTAATGTTAGCATACATCAGTGAAAATATGTATTTCTTATGAAAAAACTTTCTAAAAGTAAGTTTGACTTCTGAGGTGTATGGAGAGGAATTCTTTTCTGAACTGGATCAGACTATCTTTGTAATATTTTCTGCTAACTAACACTTAGATTCTGCTGTGTCCTTATCATGCATCAGAATAGTAAATGTACATTTTCTTTTTTCTAAGGCCAGGTGGGTGGGGGAAAGCCCAGACATTTTAAGTGTGTAGCTTTGGTTTGATTTCCTAGGCTTTGACAACTTCAGACTTTCACTTCTTCTTTTACAACTACTCCATCTTTGACCACTTTATGTCTACTTACCAATATAGACATGCTTATAAGTTTTCTGCACATTTATTTTTTTCACTGTTTTCTCTTTGCATCATTTAGGTCTGTTTTTTAAAATTCTATATAAAACCCACAAAATTCAGTTGTGCTTCGTTCCGTGTAGTTGTCAATTAAAAAAAAATAATAGCACTGGCAGCATACCTTTTCCAAAGATGTGATCTTTTACCTCTGTGTAATTTTTTTACACACAAGGGAGAGGGCTCCCCAGTGCTTGGGGTGCAGTGGGCAGCCTGCTCCAGCTCTGACCTGGCTCCAGACAGTGTGAACAGCCAAAGGGATGCTGGTTTTGCCTTTTTTTGGGAAGTGCTGGTGGCACAGGATTCACTACTGCCTGGGCTCTGCCTTCCTGTTGGTTCCAAGGTGTTGGTCTGTGCTTGCAAAGCTCAACTCAGTCTGAAGAACTTGAGATGTGCTGGTTACCAGTTAGTTTTCAGTAATTCAGCACTTCCTTAAAATTAGTCAAGTGTGCAGTCTCTTCTTGAAGGTCATTTCTCAAGAACAGACGTGAGTGTTAGTGGGTGTCAAGTTCGTGACATGCTTCATGCAAATAGCTTTTTAAAATAAAAATTTGAGAAGCACACCTAAACCCTTCCTCTTTCTGTAACTTTCCTCTGACAACTGAAACATAGGGTCAATGTTGAGAAGCAGCCCAAAAGCAAGCAGATGAGAGAAATCCATAGTTAATGCTTTAATCTGAATAGTCTTTTCTTTGTAAATGAAAGCTGCATATTGAGTTGTTTTCTTTGTTACTCATTTTCACTAGCTATAAATATTTATAATTTCAAAGGCTAGGTGTTTGTGGTTGTTTTGATACTTATCTGACTTCACTCTGCAAATATTATTCTGGTGTTCCTGCATGCCTCTCCTGGCTTTCAGCTGTGTGAGAATATATGTACAAAGGGGAGCTTGTGTAGCTGCATTTGCAGCTCTCTAGGGCTTCTGAAACTCTCTGAAACCATCAAATCAGGATTCTTTAGTTACGTTTTGCTTTCTGACAAAACTTTGTGGGGCAGAGCTTGTGGTGACATCAAAGTGTCACTTTGCACATGGTTTTGGAGTCACAGGTCTGCTGTGGAGGGAGCACAGCATGGTTAAGGCTGACAGCAGTGTCACTGGTTTCTCTTCTGTCCTTAGGTCCTTTCTCACAACTTGTGCACGGTGTTAAACGTTCCCCATGATCCCGTGGCCTTGGAGGAGCACTTTAGGGATGATGATGAAGGACCAGTTTCCAATCAGGGTTACATGCCTTATCTAAACAAATTCATCTTGGAAAAGGTAAGTTTTGAATTCTCCTGCTCTGTGCTTTCTTGTATCAATTTTTTTTAAGAGTGTCTGTGTGGTGCCTGCAGGAGGCTGCTGCTGGTGTGAAGACACTGGTTGGGAGTGTGTGTGTGTGGGGTCTTCACAGGGCAGCTGCTCTGGAGAGCCTGTGCCTAAAAATGGAAAGGTGCACTGTTCTCTACCTCTTCTCTCCTTCCTGTCACATCTGGCCCTTGCCTAAGCTGTGATTATGCAGAACTGTGCTCATATTAATAAAGCACCTCAGCTCAAATTTATCTGAAAGGGTCTGGGAGCTACAGGTTGTCCCACTTTGTACTGTAGCTGTAACAGAATATTGTCACAGACTCCTTTGCAAACAAAAAGGGTGAAAATACCTTCACTGTTTGTCACAAAGTACTTTAATAAGTAGATCCCTTCGGAGAGTTACAGTGGGTGACATTAGGGCGTAATGTGAAGTTTTGTCTTGCAAGTTCTTTCCTTTGATGTCTGAGCATTCTTCAATCTTCTGCTGTGCCTTGTTTCAGGAGAAACTCTGGAAAGCCAGTGGAGCTTCCTCTCCCCTCTCCCCTTTCTCCCCTCTCCCCTCCAAAATATGTGGTCACTGGTTTGGAAAGTTAAGAAACCCCAAACAATGATCATCCTGCTTTTTTTCCTGTCTTCTGTTCATGTACTGGGCTGGACAGCAAAAGCAGCTCACGTGATGGTGGAAACACCAGCTTCAACACCACTGATTTCTTGTACAATTGAGGGCCAGCCCCAGAAACACTCAAACTTTGATGTTGTGCCTACAGAGATACAGAGCTGTTTGCTGTCTTTTGTTATGTGAAAAAGTCCTGAACTGACATACTGCCAAGAAATCCAGTGCAGCAATTGAAGATGATGCAAACTCCTCAGCCCCGTTTGCTGATTTTTGTTCCTTCATTTAACAGTGGTGGAAAATGTGATGTATATAATGCAGTCTGGCAGCTTATATCTAGCAGAAACTTACCAGCTTCTCTGCCTCTCTAGTCTGTGTTTCTCTCATACCCAAAGAGTATGACAGACATCCCAAGAGTGCCCTGTTTGCTGTGTGGGAGATGTTGGCCTTTAGTACACATAAAGGTACCTCATTAATGTCTTGGATGTTTGATGCTGAAGAATCCTGCTTGTCCCTAAGAAGCTGTGATCTCCTTTCTGCTTCATCTTGGCTGTCTGAGATCCTGTGGAGACCAAACAGTCTTCTTTCCCAGATTCTGGGAAAAAAGAAAAGGCCTTAATTAATTTTGACCAAAGGATTACAGTGGGAGAGGCTGAACCACAGTGGATTAATAGTCTTTGTAGGCAGTAGCAAGCCATTAAGTAAAGAAAACCCAAAAGAGATATGTATGGCTTTTTCAAATATAAAAATGCACTGTTGTTAAAGGCTGTTTATAGAGAGAATAGTTATGGAAATGAAGAGCAAAATTGCATTTAAGTAATGCTTTTATCTGCAAATGACAGACTTGGCTACGTAAGTAAAGAGGTATGAAAGAGAGGAGCATGACTGTGTATACTGTCTTGTTTTGTTTTATTCATCTACTGATCTGACTTCCAGTGATTGCCTGATATATCTGTATCATCAGTTAATCATAAAAGATGAAAGTGTTAAGTAACAGGATTAAATTACCTGTAACTTCATGCTAGTTGATCTTGACTAAATGCTTGTAAACAAGAAAAGCAGTGAAGTTGTTTGGACAGGAAAAATCTTGACTGTGACTTCTCTTCTTTTAGAGATGGGGTTACATCAGTGCCAAAAGACATCATGCAGTGGGATGAAGTCACTGATTCACTGCGTGTCTCCCTTGTTTAAAATAAACAAGCAAAAAAAAAAGCAAACAAGAAACTCCTTCTTTATTTTTCCAAGGCATAATCTGTTATTTTAGATGGGCTGATTGTAGAAAAATTGCTGTTAGTGTATTCTAGTAAGCAAAGCTACTAAAGAAGGAGTGATGCTTTATATCCTAGATACACAGGAAGTTCTCTCAATTTCCAGTCATGCATCTTATGGCAAATGAATTGATTCAAGCAAGAGCCACTGACTCAAGAGAGGTTTTTTTTTGATCTGAAGATATTTTGCTTTAAGACCTTAATATTTAAAGAATGATTTCTTAAATTTCTTTTAAAATAGTTATACAACTATGACCTAGAATTTTATTGAGAGGACTTTGCAACCTTTGGAAATAACTTCTGTTCTTAAATGCAATTGTAACTTTTTGTATTTTTTGGATGCTGACTTACCCTGCAATAAAGCCTCCTTATATAGAATCAGGGAATCATTGAGAAAGGGACAGTTGTCAAGAAAGACAAGGTAGTTAAATGAGGTACATTTGCTGCAACTGATTTTCTTTATCCACACAAATAAATTCAATAAATTATTTGAGTAATTAGTATGGCTTGATTAATGGTTTCCAGTGTTATGTGTCTTGTTATTCAGCAGATAGATGTATCTAGAATTTTATTGCATGTGAAACAAAACCTGTCTTGTTCTGTAAATGTCTCTTTCAGGAAGGAGCTCTGATTTGCCAATACAGTGTCCTCATAATTTGTTTTACTTGGTTCCTTAACCATATTTTAGCATGTTGTTATTTACTATGTATATCTTTAAATACCAACTGGAAATGTTTCCCTTTCAGTAATGGCAGTGGTGGTATTTTACAGCAATAAAATACCTTTTTTAAAAAGACTTATTTAGAGCAGGGAAGAGTCCTGGTGGGGAGAGACGAAGAAGGACATTGTTCAAAATTCAGGTTATCTCATCTTCCAGACAGCTTCATGAATGCAAGTTACACTACCAATGCTTGTTACATTTTTGGAACTGTTATTTTGGAGAGCCAGGGCTTGTGTGCTGATATAATTATTGTCCTGAATAATTCCTAGACAGTGTCTGTGTTCTGGATGACACGTGGGCCCCACAAAATCCATTTCAGAATCAAGTCTGGATTCTGCAAAAAGGGCTCACATGTCTGAAGTGGGATTGCTGGCACTGTGGGACCTATTCCCCTGTGGTGAAGTGGTTCTGAAGCGTCCTGCTCAACTGCTGCACAGTCCTGGTGGCAGGGACAATGCTGCAGGTGGCCTGGGCTTTGACAGCAGTGTCTGAGGCACTGCAGTGCTGCTGTGCTGTGTTAGCAGAACCCCTGCACCACCAGGACATGTCCAAGGTGGAACTGCACCCCATCAGGGTGGGAAAAGGGCTTTTGGAAGAGTTCATGGTTCATTGGGCAGGGTGCAGAGGACACAGAAGGAGCACAGGAGTGAAGTGCTGAACAGAAGGAAGAAGGAATCCTGACTTGCAGCCCTTCATCCACAGGGTGTCTGTTCGTTTAGTCAGGGTTTAATTTAAGTTCCATGTTTCTTGTGCAAACAGACAAATGCTGAACTTGTGGCTGTAGCAGCTCTGGCTCCTACAGCTGCCACCTCATTCAAAGGACAGCTGTAGGCTCTTGCATCTCCACCCACGTTGGTGACCTGTGCAAGCATGCAAAGTCTATGGTTTCGATTCATTGTCTCACTTTTATGCCTGGAGACTGTTCTTGTCATCAGGTTGGTTTCTTGTTTACTTCTGTCTTTCCTTTTTAATCTTTTTTCCCCTCTTTTTCTCCTCCACCCATATCAGTTCATCGACTTCCCAAGTCTGTCATTGACTGAGCCACTGTGCTGTGGTCACTGTATTTGACCACTTACCAGACTGGGTAGGAAATTATACAGTTTGCATCTGTGTTCTTGAAGCATCTGAGATCTGTGGTTTGGCTTATCATAAAATATGGTCTCACTACCACAAGAGGTAAAAGAACCTTTCTTAGATGTGTTTTCCAAAATCTCAAAGGGGCTTCCATTACAGTGCCAAACATGCCTTTATCACACTCTAGCAAAGAAATAGCATTGCAAAGTTGTGGGGAGATAATAAATAGGTTTAATGTGTAACTTAAATGAGGGTTTAAAAACAAAACAGTAAATTAGAGCTGTTGCCTAGGTAAATAATTCACAGATCTGTAGGTGTAGCTGCTAGATATGATAAAGGATAATGAAAACAAGAGGAAATTTTGTATCAATGAGGTGAAGGTTTGCAAGCCTGAGAAAAAGGTTTTAAGTGGATTAGCATTTGAGGAAAAAATTATTCTGTGTTTGTGAATACTCTGCAAGAGTTAGTTTGAGTAATGTGAAGTAAAAAGCATATTAAAGGTCCTTCCCAGTTGTTGCTCCAATACCACTTTTAGCATATCCACATGTGGATTTGGCTATGCTGGTTTCCAAACTGGCTATATAAAATCCCAGTAAGTCAGTGCAATAGGAGGGCAGCTAGAACTAAGACAGTCCTGGAGATGGTTTGGAAGCTGATGTGCTAGAGGAGACACAGAGTGCACTGTGACCTCCTTTCCATGGAGTCAGGGTGTTATTAACTCAACCAGAAATTGGAGGTTGGATGTCAGTTTTGCTGAGAGAAATTCCTTTTTTTACCCCATGCAGGAAGTCAGGCTAGGTTGCTACAGTGCTCTTTTTGGGTCTTGATATTTTGTGCTAACTACAATTTTCTCACTGCATTTTGTATGATGAAACCTGATAAACTTTGTCTGTCTGCTATTCTGTGCCATTTGTGCATATCAATTTTTTGTTGTTCTTCAATTTCTTCTCTTTAGGTTCAAGGGAACTTTGACAAAGTTGAATTCAACAGGATGTGCTGGACTCTCTGTGCTAAGAAGAATCTCTCTAAAAGTCCTTTGCTGATTAGTGATGAAGATGCATTTAAAGTGTGGGTTATTTTTAACTTCTTGTCAGAGGACAAATACCCTTTAATCATTGTACCTGAGGAGGTAAGAAACAAAAACTTAACCTCTTTAACACAAGTTTGCCTAATGTTCCAGTTGAACTGGGTAAAGTTCAACTCTCTGGAGATTTAAGAGGAAATATTGTTTAATTTAAAAATTTTATTCCCCTCTTTTAGTATTGTAAGGCCTCAGATGCATTTCTCTGTCTTTCAGGATGCATATATAGGGATTTCCACAGGATACTTGAGATATTGATAGCTCTGTGTGTCTGTCATTTGAACAGCCCGGACAAAACAGGATAAACAGGACATGCATGGATGTGATCTTTAATCACTGCACTTGCTTATAGGTGGTTGCAATTTTGCAAGGTCAATACATCCATGTGATTCTGAATAAAAAATGCCCCCATCTATTCTGTGTTATTGTGACTTGGCAAGATGAGTCTTCAGTCTCCTGTCACCCTCCTGATGGAAAGGACAATACAAAATTTTCTGATGGTGTCTGTCTCTGATCAAAACCAGCCAGCCCCTGAACACTCTTGCTTGAATTGTCTGAAGGAATAATACCAGAGAGATCTCTTTATATTTTCAGTTCATGAACAAGTATTGACAGCACTCAAATAGGTACTTTAACCCTAGAGCAAGATTTCGGTATTCTCCCCTTTGGGATGGGTGGGGAAAGGAGCAGAAAGATCAGAACTGTTGGCATAAATAATCCCTTGCAAAACGGTGTACACATATCCCAGGAGTTTGCAGTTCAGCGCTGGAGGACTGAATAATAAACATCTGCAAATTGCTGAACAGCCAGTGATCAAACCAGTCTGATTAAAATGCCACTAACAGCATAACTGTAGGACTCTGAGGTGTTGTGCCAAACCCTCAAGTACAGATAACTCTCCTATCAAAATGAACTGTTCCATTTTGCTTTCTCACTCACTTTTTAGCAGAAGACTTTCACTCTGTACATTACTGGTTTTGCCAAATCTGGCATGCTGTATTCCCATGAGAAATGAGACAGTCTTCTTGCTTGCTTTCCCATTTGTTTCTGTTGGTTCTAGGAAACAGGGATCATGGTTATAAAAGCTAAGACAGCTCCTTTCTTAGTGGTGCTATATTTGGCTTGGTAGGTCAGAGCCACTAATAAATGCCAAAACTGGGACTCAAATCCACATCTCTGGTTTGTCAATGTGTTGCCCACTGTGCAGCCTGGCTTACCTGTGGGCAGACAGTTCACATCTCCTAAATTGCTGGCATGGTTAAATATTTCAGCCCTGCCAGCTCTGGGGCGTTGTTCCCCTCTCCTTCTCCACCAAGGCAGCCCCAGATTGGTACTGGCAGTTTGTCTGTGTGTTGGCACATGTGCTGCAGAGTCAGCACTGAGCTGAGGTTTTCTGGATTTTGTATGTGCTGTTGTTTGCTTTCCTTTCCATCCCTAATGTCCAGGTTAACCTGTATTGCTCTTCTACTTGGATGATTTTAAAAATTCTGGTTGTGGATCTGTGTCTGCATCTCCTTGATTACAGCAAGATTTAAATTGTGCAATTTGTTTAAAGAAAGCTTACAGAGCCTGACTGACAAAGAAAGGCTGCTCTGTTCTTATCATATACAATGCCTGTATTCACTCCACCTTCCCTCAGACCACACAGGTAATGTAATCAGCCACTGGAGGAATGCTGTCTGTTGAACACACTCCTTTCTGGTTTGCACTGGTCCTGCATCAGATCCTCTGTACTTCTGAAAAATTTTGCGTTTACTCATCTACTCTTTGCACAAAATTCCCGGAGCGAAAAAAAAATTCAGTCAGTTTTGCTTTTCCTCAGATGTTTTATATCTGCCTTTTTTACAAAATGGCCTGCAGGTCGTGTATACAGCGAGGGCATTTTTTACAAAGTGGACGAGAGGAGAAGGGGGTGGAAGCACTGCAGTTTGTGCTGTCAGTGTTTTGCTGACAGCAGTGTAAACCTCTCGTGTGACTGCAGCTTCCCACCCAGGGAGCAGGCTCCTGCCCTGCCCCACTGCTGCTCTTAGGGTTCCTTGGGAATATTGCAACACACAACCTGCTGCAATTTCTGGCTCAGGGATCCAGCTGTTCATGTGGAATCCAGCTGTTTTCCCCTCCTCCCTCCTTTCCACATTGTTGGCTCCTTTTTTTGTTTGTTTGGAGTTTTTGTTTGGTTTTTTGTTTCTTTTCCACTTTATAAGTAACTGAGAAACTTGCCACATGCTTTCTGGTTAGAATGGTGATCTCTTGATTTTTGCCTCCTGCCTTGTGGATGGCACGACTTCTTAGGTCTCTCCAGTGAGTATATTAACACAATTTCATGTAACTATAATGATGCCTTTTCTTCCTCCTTGGAGCAGCTGCTCTTTGAGATCTGCTTTGGAGTCTGAATTTCCTCTTTTTTTTTTTTTTTTTTCAATTTTTAAAATGAGATAAGTGATTTTTGCAGTCATTTCATAGATTTCATATCTCATATCTGGAAAAGCCTCCTGCTTGAGTGCAGCTTCCCCTTACTTGCACTGTACTGACTAAATACTGAAGCTTCTCTCTTTCCTTCTTGCCCATGTCATGTGCTTTTGCACTGGTGCTGCTGGGCTGGACCTTTCCTTTCAGACAGCTGAATGTGGCAGGGTTGTTACCCCGAGCTACAAAGTGCAAGTCTTGATTCCCTGCCCAAATGTTGAATGGGCTGCAAATGGGGAATGGGTGCAGCTCATCCAGAGAAGGGAAAAGAGGCTCCTTTAGAAAGGATTCAGAGATGCAGGCTGAGAAGAGCTTTAGGAAGAGCAAAGTGAGGAAAGGATTTACCAGGAGAGTCTGAAGGCAGTGGAGAGGTGATGCAAGGGCCAGAAGCTGCTTGTTTAGCAGAGGCCAGAGGCAATGTCTGTCCTGTGCTCCTCACCTGTCCTGGAAGCAGGGATGTCAGCCCTGAGCTTGGGGGAGATAAGGTTTGTGAAATCCAGTGTGGGGAAGGGATTGGGCTGGGGTGTGTGGTTTTGGAATGTGGCTTCAAGCTTGAGAGGATCCATCTGTGTCATGGGGAGAGCTCAGGTGACACAGAGACAGGAGCTGGAGGCTACAGGGAGTGCTGGGCACAGCCTTGCACTCCAGTGTTCCTTCTGCTGCCTACTGGTGGGCAGCTGAGAGCACTTGGAAGAGCTGGGAACACTCAGAGATCCATGAATGTCTGTTTTGCAAAGGTGCTCATGTGCCAAGACAGAAAGCAGGGACCAACAGCGAGCTCCTTCCCCTCCCCACAGCCAGATTTTCCATCCGAGATGCAGACATCTAAGTGTATGTTTCCTTCAGCTCTTGCAGGCATTACCTCTTCCATGAAGAGGATAAAGTGAAGGAAAAAAGGTGGAGAGAACTGAAGCCATAAGAGGAGAAGTATTTCTATTTTGCCACAAGCTTTCCTTACAAGTCACCTCTTAGTTGTTACAGACTCATTTGTGTGTCCTGGTATTTTTTAACCAGATGTTTTCTGTTTTATAAGAAGGTTTTCAAGCACTTCCCCTTTCTTATTTCTGGACATGTGACTGCAGCCTCGGGAATGCTTTATCGCCCAGAGCTGTGGTGTGTGGTTAGTTTGTTTCTGGGCCATTCTTCATGGTGAAACTCAGATACACACACTGCAAGCTGCATGCTCAGTGTTGTAATCCAATGTTCACAGTTTGTTTCAGATAAGCCAAACATTCTTGCTGCTTTTGTCTTCATGAAAAAGGTTTGTACAGTCGTTTTTCAATTGTCCTCTAGTCTTCAAATTTATTAGCAGACAGCATTTCTAATCCTTCTAAGAGGACTGAGCCTTGTGCTGCTTTTTGTGCATGTCAAAATGAGGTGATGTTTTCTTAGCCTGAGGAGGTGAGAATCTCATCCAGTGGTGATTTTTCTGGAGTGTGTTTTTTATGACCATGTTTTCTTCCTTGTTCTGCATTCTAGTACCAGAAACTGAAACAGTGAATGAAATACTGGGAATTGACCCTTGACCCGTCAGAAATGGCATCAAAACTGATACAAAGAGAATGAAAGCTGCTTATGTGGAGTTTTAATTGACCCATGATCTCTAAAAGTTGATGACAGTGGCTAGGAAGATTTTTAGTCACTTGCAGCAGTCACTTGGTTAGGAAGACTTGCATCAGTTCTTCCCATTTTGCTGCCTTCTTCCTTGATTGCTGCATGAAATTCAGTTTTCAGCTCACAACAGCAGGTTGTTTCTTGAGTTGACCTTTATTATACTGCACTTAGCACTGATTTAATTTTGGCAAAAAGGAAACAAGGTAGTGGCTTAGACTGGATAATGAACGTGGTTTTGCTGGTGGAAAGGGAGAAACAAATATTTGCCTTAAATGTAAGTGATGTTCTGAAGGGATGAAGAAAAGGAGTTGATGATGACTGTGAGAGGGGGTATGAGTGCTTTCATGGCTGTGGCCCAGTAAAATATACTCCCACAGAATTTTGTACAATGTGAGTAGATTTTTGACATCTGCTCTGTTAATATCACAAACCTTATTTGAATAGTGTGAACCAGAATAGCCTTGTCTGCTGTGCTCTGCTGGGCATGAAGGCAATATTTTTCTCATTTTAAGAGACTCATCAGAAAAATGTGTGAAAAATCCATGCTGCTTCCTTCCCCATGGAGGCAAGAATATGTGAAAAAAAAAACCAAACACACACTGAAACATGGGGAAAAGAAAGTGCCCTCTGAATGAAGCTCTTAAACAGACTCACATTAGAGCTCTTTTCTTTGCTGCTATTTTTGATTTCTCTTGGCAAAATTCTGGCTGCAAAGTCTGTTGATTTGAGATGGAAGTTGGTTTGTTAGTGTGGAGCCACTGAGTCCCTACTGGTGTATGCAGTGTCAACAACTCCCTGTTATTTTTGCACCTGTATTTTGCATACTTTGGACCTGAAAGCAAAAGTATTTTGCATACTTTGGACCTGCATCAGAGCAGCAGCAAACATCACTTCACTTTTGCTTTTCAACATTGCCTTTTAGCCACAAGAGTAGTGTATGTTTGGGACCCAAATTTGTCAGTTATTTGCTGGCTTGACATGTCTCTGTGGAGGAGGGGAAATGTCATTTGCTCTCACAGGTTCCTCATTTGAGCTCCTAATGAGCTCAGTGGTTGCTGTTTGTTTTCACACTGGTGCAACTTATTTCTTGGTATTTAACTCATACTTCCATATTCATGTTCTGTGCAAAAGTCACTGTTCAGATAAACTTTTTCTGTGAATTTTGGTTGGTCATGTATGTGACTGAATTCAAGATAAACCTATAATATTTTTTTTTAATTTTAGAAATTGATTTAGAAATTAATTTAGAAATTAATTTAGAAATTAATTTAGAAATTTAACAGGTCATTTTAAAGTTAAGAAGAGTTAATGTAGTTTAAAATGATGAGTATTTTATGTACTTTAGTGGGATTATAGGATATTTGTGGTCATGTGGATGGGGGACTTGTAGATAGGGGTTAACAGACTTAAATGATTAAATCTATTCTGTGAACCAAAATAAGATAAAATGTGTGAAGTAACACCAAAGGAAATGTGTTGACTTATTTTTAGTGTATTATATGATAATGTGAACTAGCCAAGAGTTTTGCATTGCATCATTTCCAGACCATGAGTTTGATCCACATTTTATTTATGTGGCTTGAGCAAAAATGGGAAAAAATTAATTCAGGTATGTTCTTTGTGTGTGTTTGTGTGTGTTCCATTGTCTGCAAGTGAGACCTGGTACTTTTAGATAATTAACCAAAGGAATTTGAGAGCTGCTATGCCTCAAGCAGTGTAAGAGATTGTGAAATTCTGAAACAATGCATTTTAAAGTTAGAGTTCATATTTTTAAATTTTTTAATTATTATTATTATTACTGTGTAGCATTTTGGTAGTTATATTATCTATCTAATTAAGTCTGAGTTATTTGAGCTTTCCTTCCAGCTAAAGTCCAGGATTGTAGTTCAGAACTGATGCTGCTCAGAGAGGGAATGAGCAGAGTGGCAGAATGTGTTTTGAACACGGGTAAAAAAATCAAGGTTTTAGGAGGTTTACTTTGAAACAGCTTTTCAGTGCTCCTGTTCTTTCACTCTGTGGAGGCTTTTTTTGGGTTGGTTTTTTTTTTTTTTTTTCTATAAAACATGTCTGGAGTAGGAAGTAAGCTGCTTCCTGCCCTTAACTGAATACTGAGGATTTATGGTAGTCGATGCTTGGAAGCCTTGAATTATTTTTTTAACTCAAGGATTTTGGAGAGTGAAAATCAGCAAAGTTTATTTTAAAGACTGTGGGTTTGAATGCCACTTCTGCAGAGGCCTCTGTTAGACCATGTCTTTGCTAGTGAGAACTGCATGAGGAGCCAAGAAATACTGAAGTGTCTTACTTGGTGAAGCTGAAATGAAAAACAATGCTCTCTGCAATATCTGGAGGCATATTCTGTGCCTGCCTGGGCTCTCTTCTCCTGAGAGAGACTTGAGAGGATGTGACAGCCATGACTTGGAGGTGTGTGCACATCCTGTTCATGCAGTGGGGCAGAAATTTTCCTCCTGGCACTTTGCAGCTTCTCCATTTTGCTGTAGCATTACCTTGGAGTGATGGTACCCCTGGAGTGATGGTACCTCTGGAGTGATGGTACTCCTGGAGTGATGGTACCCCTGGAGTGATGGTACTCCTGGAGTGATGGTGCCCCTGGAGTGATGGTACTCCTGGAGTGATGGTACTCCTGGAATGATGGTACTCCTGGAATGATGGTACCCATGGAGTGATGGTACCCCCTGGAGTGATCCCTGGAGTGATGGTGCCCCTGGAGTGATGGTGCCCATGGAGTGATGGTACCCCTGGAGTGATGGTACCCCTGGGAGTAAGAGCTGTGACACCAAGAGAGTCACTGAGCTGAAACAGTGGGGAAAGCACATCCATCTGCAGGGTGAATTTGGCTGTTTACTGTTCTACCACACCCTTGGTTTCCTCACCATAGACATGAGGGAAAGGAAGGGCTTTGGCTGTGCTTCTTGTAGGAGAGAGAAACAGCAGCCACAATATATTGAGCCACAATATATTCCCCTGTGGGGAAATAAAACACTTCTTGATTTCTCTGTACTCCCAGATCTCTTGCATAGAGACTTAAAAGCCTGTTGGACAAGCTAAAAGGTGACTGAGCTGTAGCAGGAAGGCCCTCACCGATTATTTTGTTTAGAGAGTCATTAAAAGCATTTTGTATGTGCTCAAAGCTGTAGATGGGCTTAGTTTAAAATACTGCAAATGAACAGTGATGAGTTTAAAACTAACATAAAAAACAGAATAAAGAACCCCAGCCTTCTTTGCTTCTTTGTCATTCCTGTGTTTGTTTTGACTAGTGTTACTGGTGTTGTTATCCTGTGCATGGTAATGCTTACTGAGTGATGAAAGATTAAAGGACAAGGAGAATCTATTTGGGAAACAAAAGCAGATATGAAAGATTTGTTCTTTTATTTCTTTTGATACGACTGTCAGGATTGTGTGCAGGGATGGAGTGCTTGAGAGCTAGAGAGAAGGGTCAGGTGTAGATCATATCTTGGTTGTTTTTCATTGCACTTCTAGTCCAAACAGCCTTCTGTTCTTATTTTTTTGTAATTTGTTTGCTTTTTGCTTACAAGAATACTTTCTGAAACTTCTTGCTTTCTCACACTTCAGTCAGCACAGTTTGAAAGCCACCGCAGGGAAGGTCCCATGTGTTCTGTAGGAATCTGAAACATTAAATGAGGCTGTCAGGTTCAATTCCTTGTTTTACTGTGAAGAGAGTAGCTGAGGGATGGGCTTGGCAGACAAGAGTTCAGCTGAGACAGGAGCTTAAAACCTTTGTTAATTAAACCACCCACATTTAGGGACCTACACGTGAGTGTAGGAAACTCTCTGTAATGGGGGTCTCTGGAGAAGCCTCCTTTACAGCTCTGAAACACTTGATTTCCATGCCTGCTGCAAATGCCGGATTTCTGTTTGTGTTTCTGCACAGATTGAATATTTACTTAAAAAAATCACTGAAGCAATGGGAGCAGGCTGGCAGCAGGAGCAGTTTGACCATTACAAGATTGCTCTCAACACCAGTCGAGAGGGTCTGTCTGCGTGGGAGCTGATTGACCTCATTGGAAGTGGGCAGTTCAGTAAAGGGATGGACAGGCAGACAGTGTCCATGGCAATCAATGAAGTCTTCAATGAGCTCATCCTGGATGTACTCAAGCAGGTAAGAACCACAGAGAACTAATGTTTTAAAGCAGAATGTTGTATTGCTTTAACTGAAAAATGTTCAATTTGTGCTCAAATTTCTTTTCGCTATTGAACGATGAGCAGGAGGAAATTAGGTAAATTATCTCTAAGGGTTCTTGAATATAAGCTTATTTTTATAAAAGAAATTGTGCTGCTATCCAGATTGTTGTAATTGTAGGAGTATTATGAATGAGTTGCTTCTTGGGAGATCTTGCTTTTAGAAAGTGAAAGAAGTGGGCTCTGACTTGAAGTTTGGCTTTTTTTACACTAGTACCAGCTGCTTGTTAGTTCACAGAATAGCTGCATCATGCTCTCACTTCTGGTAACAGCTCTTCAGTCTTTGGAAATGCTTTTCTATAGTTTCAGTGATGCTGTAGGAAATGCAGCTGTGCTGGGCACCATCTCTGTGTTCAAACAAGGGGCTCTGGAGCAGGGTGTTGCTCCAGCTGAAAGGTTGGCTTCTCAAGTGCCCCACTTCAACAGGGTAAAAAGGGGTGGGGGAGCTCCAGAGGGCTCTCGCTTCTTGTTCTGCTTAGCAGGCTACGTGACTGACAGCTTACTTACCTGCACTCACACTCCAGAAGTCAGGCTGGCCTTTGTACTCTTAGCAAACTTCTTTCTTCAGATTTCCAGTGACTGAATTAGCAGTTTAGGAATGCCTTTAAAACTGCATTTCTCTCATGGGAATTGGAAGTACCACAGGGACCTGAGGGGTCACAGCAGAGTTTACCTAGAGAGCTCTTGAAAATTGACTTTTACCTGACAAGAGAATTTTTTTCATCTTTGATTTCTTGGTGAAGAGAGAAACAAAGGCTTTCTTGGCAGGCTTTCCTAAGCTGTTCTAAAGGAACCATCAGAAAGTCTTGGCACAGGAAATTCTTTCAGAATACCCACAGAACAATGCAAAAGTCTATTTTTGATAACTGCTGGTTGCCTGTTGGAGGTGAGGTCTGGGGACACACACACATAAAGTCAGTTGAGGGCAAAATGAAGTCATTCTGCTGTTTGATTCTGTGAAAACAAATGAACCAGTGTCAGTTCAGTCCTACTTGAAACTTGTGAGGAAATCAGATTTCTTTTCAGTTTTGAATCTGCATTGTGTGTCTTCCCCCACACCTTTTTTTTTGCTGTTTTGTTTTGTGTGTCCTTTCTTTCCTCTCTTGTTGCCTGGGCTTCTTTCTCAAGGATGTCTGAGTGCCTTTGAATGGTTCCTTGAAACTTTTAAAAAGAGTTTGTGCCAAGATTTGGCCCTGTGCCTCCTGGGCAGTTTGGACAGTTACTGGCCTGGTGGAGAGCAGAGTTCTCTGTGTGATTTCAGTATCCTGATACCTTGTGGAGTCACAGAATTGTCCTGTTTATTGCAGTAATCATATAATTGCTTCAAGGTATTAATTAATGACACATGGTCTCATAAACAAGTGTCGTGCTACCCTTTTTATTAAACACATCCTGGATCTCTAAGGCTTACAGAGGGTAGCAGCAGTAGTTACATTTGTGATATTTAGTGTTCTGAAATACGTGTCCTTTGTGTGATGGTTGGTGTGAAAAAGCTTTGGCTTTTCAAGAACTCTCAATGAGCTCTTGGAAGATGAGAAATAGGTGATACTGAAATAACAGCTAAAGATTTTGCAGAAATTTAAGGGGAAAGAATTAGTCTGACTTGGCTTTGAAAGCAAATTTGGTAAGTCAGGAAGGGGAAAAAAAAATCTTAGACTGTTGAAAGAATGAAAGATTGAAGCTGCAGGAATTCTTCACATGGCCTTGCAACCACCCCGAGCTCAGAGCCGAGTTTGGAGGAGGCAGACAAAGCTGTTCTCTGTGCATTCCTGGTGTGGAGTGGGATGGCACCTGGGAATAGGCACGGCCTTGGCTCTGCATGTGTTTAAGTGGCTTGAAAAGCTGAGCACAGATAAGCTGTGTGTGTAGGGGGTGGCTTGGGTTTTTGTTTGGTTTGGTTTGTTTTTTTAAACAAAAAAGCTTCTTCAACTGTTCTGAATGTTTTCATTCCCCTCAGAGCTATCTTTGGCTTAAATATGCCACACCACATTTCTTTATATATATCTATTTTTTTAATACAAGCGCTTTTGCTTGTATCAAAAACTGTGATAGATGAAAGCCATTACTGAAAAATGTTCTTTGGTCTCCTTTCCAACTTCTTCATCCTCTTAATCTGAAATACTTTGAGTATACTTTCTGTATGGCTTGTTCATAGCTTGTGCTGATGTTGGTGTTTCAGTTTCATCTGTGATTTGACTTTTTATGAAAAACGTCAGACAAAAGTTGATGTAAGTATTTGGGGAATATGATTACAGTAATGGAAGGTACAGCTGAAATACTGGCTAACTTTGGAAGTATTTGGGGCTATGAGATAACTTTTGTGTGTGCTGTAATGGGTCTTTACACCTTTACATAACCAACAGACCAGCTGGTTCAGCAGAGGCCTGGCATTTCAGCTGCTCTGTTGCTTTTAACAGGGCTACATGCTGAAAAAAGGTCACAAACGGAAAAATTGGATGGAACGATGGTTTGTGCTAAAACCCAATATTATTTCCTACTATGTAAGTGAAGATTTAAAGGAGAAGAAGGGAGACATCATACTGGATGGCAACTGTTGTGTAGAGGTAAAACCACTCCAAGAACTGTGTATGCCTCTAAAGATCAGAATTAACCCTTTTTTGTGTGTGGCATTGACTCCTGGTATCTTTTAACAGAGCTTTTTTTACTTCATATGACACCAGTTCATAAACACTTTTAATAAAGGCTCTTAGTGCTGGTATTTGTATCTCTGTGACACATAACTGCATAGATGCTACTTGACTTATAATTTAGATTTCAGTGTTTGCAAAGCTGATCTTTATTGTTACCCATTCTAGGCCTTGCCTGACAAAGATGGAAAGAAATGCCTTTTTCTCATAAAATGTCTGGATAAAACTTTTGAGATCAGTGCCTCAGATAAAAAGAAGAAGCAGGAATGGATTCAAGGTGAGGTTGCAAAAATGCTAGTTACATGCTAGTGAAAATTAAGGTTAGTGGAATTCTTACAGCAGTGCTTTACTCAAATTTGAAATTCTTGGTCTTGTGATTTTTTGATATCTCTGTTTTGGTCACGTGGATCTTTAAGGGGTCTGAGGCTCAGGAAGAACTAAGGATCCACATAAGGAAAATCATTTTTTGTCACATAGGTGCCTCAATTCAGGCAGCAATAACCAAAATGAAATGGTTATTATTGCTGGTTTTTATATTGGCTGTACTTCTAGGGATGGGGAAGGGAAACAATGTTGTAAATCGTTGCTTTTGGGGAGAAAGGGAAAGCTTGTTCATTTTGGCACTGTAAAATACTGGCTTTGGTTTTACAATTTTGTTTGAAGTATTATGGTTTGGTGAGCTGAGGATAAAGCTGGGAATTAGGGCTTGCTTTTCAATTCCCATGGTGAAGGTATTCCTCCTGTGAGACTTTCCCCAGATATGTGATGGGTACATCCATCTGCAGAGTGAGGCAGAAGCCCTTACCAAGCTGTTGTTGCTAATGCCATTGAAGAATGTGCTGCAGTTAAATATTTGGAGCTGTGTGCTTTCATTTGCACTTCTCTCTTTACCTGCAGCATGTGTTTCATTGCACCAAAGTAGAGTGTATGACAAATGATTCAAAAGGAGATTTTTTCCATGGTTGTGGTATGTGAATAAAACACCAAAATCATCTGCCACTCCTCAGCTTTGCTGTCTTAAATGTTTTCTCACTGCATGTAAGTGAATGAGAGCTACTGTCTTACTGGGAGAAAGTTTTCCCTTGGATTATCTCTAAGAATACAGGCTTTAAAGTTTGCTCTGGGGAAGATAGATAACACCTTATTCCTTGGTTAGTCACTGAGTCTAGGTGGTAAGAAATCCTGAAATGTTGGGGATTTTTCTTGGAGCTGGACTGCAAGTGACTCATATGTCCATAGCCGGTTACAAATCAATATTGGAATTGATCTAACGCAGTGGAATTGCCAGACCTTATCCCTGTGGCACTCAGCCAGCACTGAGAGCTGAGCGTCTTTCACTTCTGGTTTGTGTTGACAGCCAGCCTGATGAGAATTAGCACAATTGACAGCAGTGCTTTCTGATTTAAAATCATACTCAAAAATCCCCAACCCAACAGGCGGCACAGTGACATCACAAAGTCTACCCAGAAAGTTTAGCACTCCCTTTCATGGTGCTGTGTCCGTGTCCCCTGCAGCCATCCAGAGCACGGTGAGCCTGCTGCGGGCGGGGAGCCCTCCTCCCCACAAAGAAGCGCGCCAGAAACGGAAGGAGCTGCGCCAGAAGCTGCTGGCTGAGCAGGAGGAGCTGGAGAGGCAGATGAAGGAGCTGCAGGCAGCAAATGAGAACAAGCAGAAGGAGCTGGAGACCGTGAGGAAGGTGGGAGTGGGAGCTGCCACGCTTCCAGCATAAAGCTCAGGCCCTGGGCTTGAACTGGGCATCTCTGTCCTGTTCAATCACATTGAGCTGATTCCTCCAGGGGAGCTGCACTTGTTTCAGTCCCTGTGCTTGAACTGGGCATCTCTGTCCTGTTCAGTCACATTGAGCTGATTCCTCCAAAGGAGCTGCACTTGTTTCAGTCCCTGTGCTTGAGCTGGGCTTTGTGAAGTAGAACTGGGCATCTCTGTCCTGTTCAGACTCATTGAGATGATTCCTCCAAAGGAGCTGCATTTGTTTCAGTCCCTGTGCTTGAACTGGGCATATCTATCCTGTTCAATCACATTGAGCTGACTCCTCCAGGGGAGCTGCACTTTTTTCAGGCCCCTGGACTGAGCAGGCTGATGGAGAAGAACCTGCCAGCTCTGTGGATGGTGTCTGGGGACAGGAGACACCAATATTTTCAGTTGCCTTTGGGTTTTTTGTTTTCCTTTTCTGTCAAACCTGGGGCTTTCCATGAGGATTTCCTTCTGTAGTTCACCCAAGTTTTGTTACATTTTTTGTATGTTCATGGGGACTGTTCTCTTCCCACATATGTAATTACTATAATTCCTATCTTAAAAAAAAAAAAAAAAGAAAAAAAGATGTGACTTTTCTTGCTGTGAGAGCTTTTAGTGTGGAGTGTGTCTTGAAAACAGTTTAGAACCCAATATTCAAATTCAAACCCTCCTCACTTGCTGCCTTACATTTTGGCTGCTGAGTCCCTGCTGCTAGAGCAGTCCAGATCTTCCTTTGTTTACTCTACATGTCTCCACTACCTCTCTAAATTAATGTAAGTCTTTTGCATTTCAATTTAGGACAAGTCTGCATCATTGCTTGACTTTTTCATTAATAAAATTCACCAGTTTTAGCCTTTAGAAAAAGCTTCAGTGATCTTTGCAGCTATAAATATTGTGAGGGCATTAAAGGTTTTGAGTCTAGAAAGCAAATAAAATAATAAAAACCCCCACATTTTTAAAAGTCTTGTCATTGTCACAATTTGTGTTAAGGAGAAATTTGTCTTTTTTAAAATTAATCTTGCACTGACAGTTCTGATGTAGGTATGATTCTGTTTGCCTTAAATGGAGTCTGACAGTGGAAAGTAATTTTTAAATTTAATTTTGGAACCTGTAGTTTACCATATGTTACAGATTCAGAATGCAAAATAGACAATAAACAATAGCCTATGTTACTTTCTACTGGTAAGTAATGTACCTGTTAACAGAAATCATTAGGTTGGATTTCTGCATTGTTTACTTCATGGAAAAATATTTAAGGGAGAAGACAACATGAGAGCAACCCCAAAGGAGCAGTAGGATGTTGACAGGCTCCAGGGAGTTTCATCAAAATCACAATGAGTAAACTTAAGAGAGTTGTGGCCAGAAGCATCTCTTGAAGTGGGCTGGATTAAAAATGATTTCTCAAGGAAAGTATCTTAGGCTGTGACATGAGCTACTGCACTGTGCCTAGATGGAACTGTGGGGGAGGTCCATTGCTGGAGGAACTGAAAGTGTTTGATTAGTTAGAAAAATGTTCTTCAAGGAAAAGGCTTTGTAAATGCTTCAGGAAACTGGATTGTTCTGGGAAGCTTGGAGGTTGGTTGGCTCCTGATGGCAGTGAGCCACCATTTATGCAGCATCTGCCAAAGTGCACTCTGGGTCTGGTTTGTATTCTGGTAGCTTCTGCAGTAGAGTATTTCAAAAGAATAAATGCTTTTATCTAAAATAGATTTTTTTCATATTCTTTAATGGAATTTTGACCTGTGCACATTGAACAGAGAGGAGGGTAAGTTTTTCCTTGTGTGAGAGCATGCACAAGACGTGTGCACCCTTTCTGTTTCCATTTGGGGTCTTGCATGGCTGTGCTGTGTAACACCTGCTGGAATGGTGGGTTCCTGTTCACTCCCCCTGCAGCACTTGTGGCTTTTCCCTGAAGTGCACAGTTCCCAGTGAGCTTACCTGCCAGGAACAGCTTTGGTGGATGAAGCAGGAAGTTGCTGATACTGAGTAGACACAGATAATTTTCTTGTTGAGCTCTCTGGCAATGGCCTGGCGTTCACCCTTGCCTGTGACTCTGCACGTTTGCTCTCTCAGCTCAGTATTGGCAATGTTTGTTTAATTTCAAAGAGGGGAAGGAAATCTAGAGGAGATTTCACTTAAATAGGCATCTTGGATTTGACTACAATTACATGCTTTTGAATGTCCTGGCAAAGGAAGAATGCTGTTTCTGAAGCACTGGCATCATTTAAGTCTTACAAAGGAGAGCAGTTCTGTGCTAATTTCTGCAACATAATCCCAGAAACCCAAACCTTCTCCTTTACTTCTTCCCATCTACTTCAGACCAGAGTGATACTACAAGCACATAAAAGAGTGAAAGTTTTAGCTTGGCAGTTTCAATCATTGGGGCATCTCATGAGTTCATCTAGGCTGGTGAGGGAAGATGGTTTAAATGTGGTTCCTTCAGGAGCGTGACAGAATCACAGGAAGGTTTGGTTTGGAAAGGCCCTTAAAGATCATCCAGTCCCAGTCCCCCTGCTGTGGGCAGAGACACCTTCCACTACACCAAGCTGCTCAAAGGCCCATCCAGCCTGGTCTTGAACACTTTCAGGGATGAGGCATCCACAGCTCCTCTGGACAGCCTATCCCAGTGTCACCTCCTCTGGGCTTGCTCCATGGTCCATGTCATCTTTATGTTGTGCCCTGATCTTCCTAAAGGTCTGTGGAAACAATTTCCACTGCCCAGCATATTAAAAAAGAAGCATCAGATAAGTTTCTTGGGAAAACCTTTTGAAAGAATGGTTTTGTTTTCAGTACTGGTAAAGTTTAAGCTGGTGCTTGAAGATTTTTAACCTTGTGGGGATTGAAATCCTGACAAAAGGAAAAACTGTGACCATTGTCTTTATTTGCAAAGTCAAGATGAAACAAAAGTAAAATAAGATGCAAGAAGGTGGGAAGGTACCAGCAGCTGTTTCCCAGGCTTTAGCTAATGTTCCTCCTAATTTCAAGTGATGATTATGGACCAGGATTTTATTAACCTTACTTGGCAGTTTAGGGGATGTTAGAGGGATGATTAACAATAGCACAATCACTTACTCTAGTCAAAGTTTGTGGCACTTCTGCTTTCCCATGACAATTCAGTGCTTCTCATTTCTGTTTCTGTATGAGCTCTGTGTGTGCTGGCATGTTTTCCCTTTTGGAAGTCCCATGCAGTCCTGCCTGAAAAGTGGTTTTTCACACTAGTTTTCTGTCCTACTGAGGTAGAGGGAGGAAATACAGTGATTTCTGTCACTTGGGCTAAGCAGGACTCAGAGGAAACTTGGAGGTAGAGAGGTAATTGCCTTTCCATTGATAAATTTAAAATTGTCTTGCAAACAATCAAGATAGAAAATTATATTTAAAGGCTGTGAATAGTCTCAGATATTAAAAAACCCAGACTGTTGTCTCGATGCTTTTGAAGGCTTCTTCCATTTTTGTTAAAACCAAAGCTTGTTAAATAAGGTTCCATTCCCTCAAAATGATTTCGTTTTGACAAATTTTTTCCTTCTTTTTTTCCCCCCTACCCCTCACCCTTCTCTTCCAGCAACTGGAAGCAGCAGCTGCTCGTGCTGCTGAGGAGGAGAAGAAAAGACTTCAGACTCAAGTTGAATTACAAGATCGCTTCAGTTTGGAGCTGGAGAGAGAAAAAATGGTGAGTACAGCATGAGGGGTTTTGCTGCTATTACACAATAGGGAGCCATGTGTTCAGCAAGGGCTTCCCTCACAGGCAGCCACTGAAAGGATTCCACAGATTTTGCAGGAGGCTGGAGAATGGAATGTGTGTTGCATTTATTTGACATGTAGAAATAAAATATTTTTACTGGTGGATTCAAATACTGGAAGACCTGGGCTACAATTTGTACAGCATTCAAAGTTTACATATTATTGGAAAATTGGGAAAAAGACTGTTTGAAGGATAAATGCAGACTGAAGTTCTCCTTTCAGTTTTCAGAGATGGAGAACCTGAGGCCAGTACTTGCTGTATGAATAAGCAAAATAAATCAGGCATAATCAAAATGCATTTTATGTGTTCCTAGAATTACTGTTTTTTTATTTTGTGTGTTCTTTTACAATTATACACACACATAAATGTAAAAGAGAAAGAAATATTGTTGCTTTACAATACTGTTACTATTCAGCTATGCTGAGGATTCCCCAAAGAACTGGTGGTGTTCAGTCTTCAAGGGCTTTGTCAGGTTGTTCTGTTAGTTGGGGAAAAGAAGTAGAAGAAGTGATGTGATGGGACATCTCAAAACATGAATGCACACAGTGCTGCTTTATGGGCTGAGCATGAATTCCTGACTACAGTCCCTTTCTGGGTCACTGGGATTTGGGTCAGCTGAGGGGAGCAGGCTGCAGACCAGTGAGGCAGGGCATACCAACCTTCTTCACTGTTTTCCAACCCTTCATCCATCCTGTGCCATCATCCAGAGACACAAGTGTGTGAGATGCACTCCTGCCAAGGGAGGAGTGAAAACAGTGCCATTAAAGCAGCCTGACCTTCATGTTTGGTCTCTCTGCATCCTTTCTCTTCCTTCAGTTGTGTATCTGTAAACTAAGCAACAAGATCAAGCTGACTGAAATTAGATTTGAACCCCTGTAGAAATCCTGTGCTGCAGGAAGTAGGTCAATATAAGTAGCCTGTGTAATTATTTATTTTTTTAAATGCTCTTAGTTCCACATCTGCAGACCTAGCCTCAATTTTATCAGTTCTGCTCAGCAGTCAGCAGGAAAAGGTTTGTCTCTGAAAACATGGCCTGAGGGAAACCTGGCAATTCTTTTAAAAATTGGAAACCTGAGCTGAATGGTTGCTCATGTGTCCTAAATTTCTGCTGCTAGGTAAGACAACAAATGGAAGAGCAGGTTGCTCAGAAGTCATCTGAACTGGAACAGTATTTACAAAGAGTCCGTGAACTGGAGGAAATGTATAAACAGCTGCAGGAAGCACTGGAGGATGAGAGGCAGGCACGTCAGGATGAAGAGACTGTGAGGAAACTTCAGGCCAGGTATGGCTTTGACCAGGTAGAAAAGTGTTTCAGTTCCCCCTGCCAGTATTGAGTACCTGTGCCCTCCTCCTAATGACCCTGCCTCTGGCAATGGGGAACTGCCTTCAAGTCCAAACACAGGACAGATTTTATTTTTCCTTTAGATATGAAGACTGAAGCTGCTGTTTGATTTTTAAAATATATCTGATTAGCCTTTAGCAGAGGGCAAGCTCAGAAGTTTGGAAAAGCAGATGCAGTTATTTTTCCATTAAGTGTTGTGCATGTCAGAATGTGAAGAACTGAGATCACTCTATACAGGCTTTTCAGCTGTTTATTTTATAAAGCAGTAACTAAAAGTGACTTTCTGCTGTATTTTATCACAGGTTTAAACTGCAATGTTAAAGGGTTAAATTTCCTCTTAGAGGGGCTTTGTGGAGTGTGGGTTTTTTTCTTCATATACTCAGTCCTCCTAAGACAATGAAGATAACTTATGCATGCCTGTTTCTTCTGGGGCTCTGTGTTGTGTATTTGCATTATTGACTACATTTTCTGAATAGCCCTTTGTAGCAGTCAGACTGCTTGCACTGCTGGAATGACACTGAAGGCAAACCAACAAACAATAACTTTCCTTGCTTCCCAAGCTTTTTTTTTTTTAAACAATATTCTCTTTCCCTTAAAAAAAAAGAGTAAAGAAAAAATTAATTAATTTGGCTTCCCTGCATGGTTACAACTTATGTCAAAGTGCAATTAACATCACAATCCCCATTGCAGATTGCTGGAAGAGGAGACAGCAAAGAGAGCTGAACTGGAAAAATGGCATTTGCAGCAGCAACAGACCATTCAGATGACAGAAGCAGAGAAGCAAGAGCTGGAAAATCAGAGAATGATGAAGGAACAGGCTCTTCAAGTGGCCATGGAGCAACTGAAACAACTGGAATTGGAAAGGAAGGAGGCCCTTGAGCAGTATGAGGTGAGCTGCTCTGGTCACCAACCTCTCATCATAGATTGAATTTGAAGTTCTTCCATATTATGCTTCTTTAAGGGTTAGCATGGCACAAAAGTTATAATAAGAGGTAGGATAGTTGGGTTGGTGGTTTGTTTGGTTTTTTTCTAGTTTTTGCTCAGTTTCTAGACCAGTAGATATATTTGAAGAAGAGAATCTGTTTCAGACACACCTCTGAAACTCTTTTATTTATTTTTGTCACAATTTGCATGCAGGCCAGCTCATTCACATCCTGAAATACTCTGTGTATGTTTGTCTTCTGCTGCAGCCTCACTTCATGTGCAGTCCCACTGCTGCCATAACTGGGTGCATTTTGCTTCTGAGTTAGTAATTCTTGCAGTATTTTGATGATGTCATGGCACAGTATTATCTTCTACAGTTGAAAAGTCAATATATAACTGTTACCTAGTCCTCAAAAATGTATTTAAGCCCTGAATGGAGGCAGGGGAAGGTAGGAATTGGCTCAGATTCTCAATGTGCAGCAGTGCCTCGTGTCCCAGATGCCAGGCCTGCTGTCTGTCCTGCTGTTTTTGGGCAAGGTCAGTAACTGTTCATGGAAGGAATGAGAGCCAGAGCCCAGCAAGCACAGAGGGCTGCACGTCTCCAGGCCTAGAGAGGTGTTGATCCTGCATTTGTTTAGGTGAGGAAAGGCAGCCTGGCTGGGTTTGTGTTTAACAGGGGAGGGTGTTTATGGGCTGAGCTCTGAAGGACAAGGCAGGGAACTGTCTGGCCTGGCCCAGAACACAAATGCTGCACTCACTGCAGGCAAGGGCCCAGCTGGGGTACTTGTGGCCACTTTACAACTTCCCAGGGTGGTGTTACATCTCACACCACCACAAGATTGCTTCTGGCTAGTACTTGACTCTTTTTTTAGGTGACATCTCAGGCTTTTTGTATGGGAAGCATAATTTACTACTCCAAAGGAATTGCTGAATACAATAGACATATAAAACCACAAAAAAAATTTCCACAAAACAATTATTTTAGAAATAATTAAACATTCTAGCCTTCCATTTAGAATTCCCAAAAGACCAGTCTAGGCTGAAGAATGAATACACAGCTACAGAATCTTGTAAAACCTTGTTATTTTGGGATTCTGGTTTGACAACTTTTTTGGGGGGAGGCAGGGTGGTGGTAGTGACTAAATTGCTAAGGATGGTTCCACACTAAACAGAGGGCTGGGGGAATTAGCATGGTTCTGTCATTTGGTTTAAAAGGTGTATCTTCTTCTATAAACAAAGTAAGCTGTTCTTGTTTTCAAGCATGCTCTGTTTTATTTCAGGAGGTTAAGAAGAAGTTGGAAACAGCAGCTAATAACACCAAGAGTTGGAAAGATAAAGTAGCTCATCATGAGGGATTGATTCGACTAATAGAGCCAGGTGAGTTATCAACTGAAGAGTTACAAAAATACCTATTTATTCTGTCTCATGTTCTTACATCACCTGCTGACTTACTGCCTTTTCCTGTAGTTTACTGGCAGCCTATAAATATCATCCTTTGTGGCAACTGCTGATGAGAACTTCCAAGTCTTTGCCTTGATTTGCCCTCCTATAATGATTTTATTATCATTATTGCTTGTTCCTTTTATGTTTAAACAAAGCAAGGATCAGCCTGAGCACTGCATTGCGAGTGTGTGATGTCTGTGTCAGAAGTGCCTGTCTCAGGTATTGCTCTCTGTCTTCCAGGCTCCAAGAATCCTCACTTAATCACAAACTGGGGCCCAGCTGCCTTCACTGAGGCTGAACTGGAGGAAAGACAAAGGAGCTGGAAAGGGAAGAAAGCCACTTCTGAGTGATGGTGGCAGCTGACACGTGGCCCAGAACAGGAACCCACCTCCCCTCGTTCTGCTTTGCACAGAGCAGCCTCTTGCTTACAAGGTTTAGTTTGCTCAGCAGGTTGGGCCTTTCTGCTCATGAAATTCTGTTTACCACGCTGGAGGGTCTGCTCAGAGCTCAGCCATTACAGTGGGTGGTGTCTGACAGGACGTGCTGTTTTCCCTCACTTTTCCAAGACTTTGCAGCTGAAAATTTGTATTGAAATGTAGCTTGTGACAGACAGAGTTGTTCCTGTACTAGCCTGTAACAATCTGACAGCAGCTAACCAGCCAGGCAGCATCACTTCCATTCCAGAAAGTGAGGGAAGCAGTTGTTCTGCTGGTTCAGTTTAGTGTCATTTCAGCCCAGGATAAATCAGTCCTGGAGGTCGTGTCCAACTCTGAGATGGGGCATTACCTTTCCTTCCTCCTTACACTTTTGCTCTGTGCCTCTGTTGCTCTCTGCAGAATGCTTAGTGCTCAGACACATTCCCTTGGCAAGGGGGGCTGGCATCACTGGGTGCCTGCTGCCTGCTTAGGTTTGGTGTCCTGTTTCCCTCTCTTTGCAGGAATCCAAACGAAAGAACTGGAGGTAGTGTAGCAAACACTGCTGTAAGACATTTGGAAAAAGTAGTTGTGCAAGACTTTTTTTGTACTGTCTCATACTCGAGAAGTGCTAAATAAAGCCTTGAGAGCTCTGTTCATAGTTTAAAAGATGAAGTTTTGGCTCACAGATTTCTGAAGCAGATGAATGGAAGGTGGTAGCACACACAGGGCAAATATCCTCTGTGTCAAGGCTGTGTTTGTGCAAGAAATCTGATTATAACATACCACCATTTTTAGATGTAGCACTTTTGTCTTACTTTTAATTGGGGACCAGATTAAAAAAAACATAAGAAAAGCTTTTTTAAAAAATAAAAATTATAAATGTGTAGTGATATGGCTTTAGGAAAAAAAAAAGTAATTCCTGTCAATGAAATAATTTCAGTCTTTCTAGTACCAAGGCTTCCCAAAGAGCCTGCTGTTGTGCCTTCCCATTCTCTCCTGGGACAAAGCCAGTTATTTCTGTTTCTGTAGGGAAAAGGAACAAGCCTGCTTTGCTTTGCAGATCTCCCACACCAGCATTGCTCAGTAGAACAGGATTCCTGCCAACTTGTACAGACATTTTGGGACACCCCCCTCGAGGAGCAGGTGCCCACTGGTGTGGCCTGTGAGCAGCTTTGACTGTACCCCAGCTATCCATCCCTCACCTGCTTGTTAGTTCAGCTACATGTTAAATTATTTGTAGTAAATAAGAAGGGAATTTTTCAGGAGGATAAGCAGTGCCTTGGTGTGCAGCACTGTGCTTCCTGGGTCTTGGAAAGAGCAGAATCTGTACAGAAGTGGTGTCCAGATTTGGAAGTCATAAATAGCATTTTATTTGCCTATTAACTAAGACTCACTCAAATACTGAATCTTCTCAGACATTTATTCTCTGGTTATATTTTTATACTAATTGAAATCTTTAATGTTTCAGTAAATGGAGTGGTGATTAGAATGGCAGGAAAATCCAGGATCTTCCTATTTATACTCACTGTACAGGAAAACAGTAGTTCCTTAAACTTGATAACAAGGCATTTTTTAAATTTATCACGTTTACAGAAGCAATGTGAATAAAAAACCCAACCACCTGTAATAGAATTACTAATGTACACAAGGTTAAACTTTGCTAAAGGAGCTGCAACAGTATTTATAACTACCAAACATTTTATGTGGAGAGCAGAAGGGGTATTGGGGCTAAACTTGTTTAATTTTTCTAACAGTCTTTATTTTGGACAATGGTTTTTTAAGAACACCAAATGATGCATGTTTTCGTATTTTTTACTGTTCTTTAGAAATGGCTGTTTAATAAAGTAATATAAAGTCATTTACATTTTTTAATTAATGGATGTCTTATTGCCTGGGTTTCTTTTGGCCTATTGAAGTTCAAAATCCAATGACTGTTGTGTGGAAGAAGTTCAGTGGTCAGATCAATGGGACATTAAAGGCATAGTAAAGGCAGTGATCACATGATAACACAAATAGACTTTGTTTTAGCAGCACTCCTCTCTTAAATGTTCATATTCAGAACTCTGCTGCAGCCTGGGGCAAGGGCCGGGCTCAGCAGGGCCAGACACAGCAGCCCCTCACCACGTGTCAGCCCTGTCTGTCTGTCTGTCTGTCTGAGGTCAGCTCTTACTCACTGGCAGAAGAGGAAATGAGACGAGGTTCCTTTTAGCTTCATCGTCCTTGCTTGCTCTGACAAATTAAGAAAGCTTTGTGTGAAGCTTTGCTCAGTAAAGCTGGGGAGAGTGGTTGGTTTAAAAATTAAACCATTTGCATGCTGAGCAAGAACAGCACTTGAGAACGAGCCCCTCGGAGTGACACTGAGCAGCATCCAAAGGGAGCACAGAGCTGTGAGCCACCACCAGGATCGGGGAGCATGGAAATGTGCATCATTTCCGAGGGGGACAAGGGTTACTGCTCTGCTGCTCCACAAACCAACGAGCCTGCTCGTGGTGAGCCTGCCCCCACTGAGCTGTGGCGTTAGGGATGCCACTGCTCTGCCCAAGAAGCCCTAACTACACCTCACTTTACACTGAGGTCAGGGGAAAGCTGTGGCTGCTGTTCCTGAACCCTTGGCACATGCACTGGAGGGCTCAGCCCACATTTTTTATCTGCCAGATTGAGGTTTCATTTACCTGCTGCTGGAACAGTCCTGCAAACCACAACCCCAGTACTGTGCTGTTGCCTCTAAAAACAGGATGGGGTTGGGGTTTTTTGTTCTTTTTTTTTTTTTTTTTTTCCCTGTAACTGTTTTATGATTTATGGGCCGTGCTCACCGGATCACACGTTCCCAAACTGTAACGGGCTGCCTTCCAGCAGCTCATGTTACTCCTGTTTCACTGTCCTGCATGAGCAGCCACAAAAGCAAAGCCGCTGTGGGGGAAAGAAACAGTGTTTTAGGACAGAATCTGTGTCCTGGGGCAGGTGGGGGAACTCAGCCCCAAAAGAAACACCTGTTTGACCCTGTTAACGGCAGGGGGATTGGAAGCAGGTGCTCATTAGTGTCCCTTCCAAGCCAAGCCATCCTGTGATCCCGTGGCTCGGTCATGCGGGACACCTGGAGCAGGAGCTGCACCATCCCTCTCCTTGAAAGTGAACGGAAAATAGCTGCTCTGATTTTTATCTCAAATATGTGAAGCAGTTACACAAACAGTATTTGAGCAAACCTGTGCGGGGCCAGGAAAGGAGGTTTGATATCCACAAGCCCTTTCAGCTGCTTGGGGGCGAGAGGTCATTATTTGTTCCCGGAGGAAAGCCTGCTGAAGGACCCAGGTGTGTCGTACACTTGTCCTCTCGGAGAAAGGCAAATTCTTTTAACACTTAAGATTTTTAGGGGCTTTCCGAGTCTTGATAATTGTGTCTCTTTGTGCCTTTTGGGGGTCACTGTGTCACCCCCTGTGCCCCATGCCGGCACACGGAGCTGGGGACCGCGGGGCAGGAACGGGACCCGGGGCTGCCTCATCGCTGGGCTCCGGCTGCCACCTCGTGGTGGCCCAGCCCGGCGTCCTGCGGTGTTCCCGGACTCTGGAGGTGTCCCGGGACAGCCTCCAGCCCCTCTTTCCCCTGCCAGCAGTGTGTGTGACAGGGCAGAGCGCTGTGTGCCATCACCGCATCCCTGCCGTGCCCTCCGCAGCTCAGTCCCGGCTGCAGGAGCCCGTGCGGGTCCTCTGCTAGCCCAGATCCCGTCAGCCTAGGAAAAAATGTTGGGTTTTTTTGTTGTTGTTGTTGTTACCGCGGGTCTGTGAGCTAATTCAGCGATATTTTCGGAACAAAGCCCGGCGCACCGCGGGAGGACAGTGGGATACAGTGGGATAGATACAGCATCCCGCGATCTCGCATCTCGCTCGGGCTGCCCTGCGCCTTTCCTAAGGGTGGTGAAGCAGAACAAGCAGAAATGTGTGAGGGAGGTTCTTTCCCTGCCAGCAGCCTTTTCCCAGGTGCTGTGTGCGAGCCCCGAGGCTGCAGGAGCCAGGACGTGCTCAGCATCACGTACTCCCCTTTTGGGAGCGGGGCTCCCGCTCATCCCTTCCAGCCACAAAGCGGGTGGGATGTGAGAGGAGAGGATGGCAGCCCGTGCTTCAGGGCTAACGCGGCTTCAGGGCCAAAATAAAATGCAAACAGAAACTTTGCCACACTTCTTTAATTTAGAGACTGCTGCGGCTTCCACACATTTACTCTCACTTTGAACTACCTGGAAATGCCAGGATTCAAAAGTGCAGAAAAGCGCTGTTTTATGAATTGGCTTCCTTCAAAAAAAAAGGGAAAGGCCAGTGGTTGTTTTAACACATAAGATGTAACAATATTTGGCAAATGTAGCTGCATCTCACCTCCAGAAGGAATTAGAATTATAAGGGTGTGATGCAAAACAGTTAAATTAGAAACATCCTGAAAAGCCTTGAGCGGGAGATTTAATGAGGCACTTTTTAACACCTTTATGCACCACCCCCAAAGAACCACTTGACAAGAACCTTTCTCCCGCCTTTTTTTCTCGTATTTTAGCTTAATTGACAGAGGAAATGTAAAAAGATATGAGCAGCAGGGTCAGAGGAAAGCCCATGGCAGACTGGTCAGAATGCTGACAAAAAGAAAAAGAGAAATCACGATCTCCAGCACAAAGGCACTCACTTTCCCCCACCAGCCAGTACTTTAAATTCCTTGATGAATTAAACCACAAAAATATAACCCTTTCTACCCTGCTCAGCATGCTCGTAGCTCACATCACTCTTCTGCCTACCCAAGGAGCTTGATCTATCAGGAGCTTTACACACAGTTGTTAATATAATTGCTAATTAATAGAGCTGCCTGCCGTGGCTGCAGCACACAAAAGGCTTTAACAGGATCCGGGACTAACAATGGCTTCGTGCAAACACTCACCTGCTGTCACTCCTGTTACATTATTTCTGAGCCCACTTTGGTATCTCTGATGGGATCAAAAGCTCAGGCATAGACATGAGACAGTTTCAAAGGCAGCCTGTATTGGTGTTGACACAAATTAGCTGTTTCAATGCCTATCTGAGCGTGGGGGTTTCTCTTCTCACTCTGAAGAGGCGTCTGCAGCTCAGCCATGACTCAAGGTGCAACTGCTGGGGAAATGCAGGCCCTCTGGGGTGCTGGTCCCTCAGTCCTCACTAAAAAAGAAAAAAAAAAAGGAACAAAACTAACCATAGCTAAAAAACTTATTTATGGTCAGACTTTGCTTAGACGTTTTCAGAAAGTCCTTGTCACCCTGGGGCTGAATTTTTGCATTTGGAGCACTGCAAGGTTGTGTTCAGTGAACCATTTCCTTTGCCAGTGATGCTTTGGGCCATTTTACTCTCTCCAAGCCATGAAGTGAATCACTACATCTCCCTGTGAGGGAGGAATGCGCCTCATTTTTCAGCCAGGCTTTTCTCCCTGCCAGAAAGATCCGTGTGCCCATGGACTGCTTATTCCCAGACAGGAGGAGGGAAATGATGGGAGCAGGGCACAGCCTGCTCACAGCCAGGCTGCCACCGAAAGCGGAGTGGTGTGACACTGCTGGCTGTGGGGATGGAGGTGGCACCTTCTGTGTTTTCTTGTTTGCTTTAGCGCGGCCGTTGCCGGCCTGTGAGGGTTCCACCACGTCCAAGGGGGTCTGTGCTGGCCCACGGAGCTTC